ATACTACATATTATATTATTTATCTATTTCTAATGTTTATAATGAGCAACATGGAATTGTAAATTGTAATTTATTTTAAACATTGTATATTAATTTATACCTACTTAATGCACATTGATCTTTGTTATTAAAGTTTGACTTTTATTTAATTTACAACGGACTTTTTTTCGGTTTTTTTTTTTATAATTTACTATTATAAAACCTAAAATGAAGTGATAAAAGTTGTGGAAACAATGGATAACTAAAAACAAAAAAAAAATCATTATGCCTATTTCATACAAATATTTGAAAATAATAAAAAAATCCAAAATTCAAAATTTGTCATTGTTATGAATTATGATACCTATATTATCACGATTAGATTCCCTTGGAAAAATTAGTGATTGCTACTTTTTCTTCCATATTCGGGGTAACTTGTAGTCTATCATTCTGACTCAACGATCAAACTGGTTTTCTCTCTCAATGCGCAGTCAATTTCTTAATAGGTCTAATGGACTGTCTAGAGAGCCTCGATATTATATCAAGGTTAGGTTAGGTTATTATATCAAGGCTCTCCAACTTACAATATACAGTCAGGTGCACGGCACGTCACACACGCCATACAGGCATACAGCCATGGGGTTCAGTCGTTCAGTGGATCGCCTTCACATTATACACCACACCATGGCTTAACTTAAGCCGCTTRAGATAAACAGGTTACGAAACTACCCATTAAAACTATACACACGATGTAGATGTAGGTGACACCACTCTTCAACTCTTGTATCTTTCAATGTTACAATATTGAYGCAAAAAATCGCGGCAGTTTGGTAGTTCAGAATTGATCACCAGAGTACGCTACCATTCGCACGAAGCCACGAAGGCCGACTTTTATACGAGTCGTAATGTAGATTATTTATATTTAAATTTTATTTATTTTAATTGTTATATGTTATTCAAATGTCAACAATGTGCATGTCAAATATCAATATAATACATTTTATGTTATATTGTACAGATTATTAAAACACACAATTGTTTTGGAATCGTGTTCCAATTATTATGTAAAATTTTTAATAATATATGGTATTCACTATTCAGCCATATCGTACAAATATATTAATTTAAATAAAATGTATGATATTTATAATTTATATATAATATATTCATTTATTAATTGATACATATATGTACAAAAATGGAATTAGTAAATAAGTACAATTTAGTACAATAGGTAAAAGGTACTGGTACTAGTTCAAACTGCTAATAAAAGCTCAAATATACTTCTACTACCTACTAACCCAAGTCCCAAGTTACTTGGGCCAGTTGGGCAAAGTAGGTATACCCAAGTCCCAAATATCCAAACAATAAATCTATTATACTTACATCAACAATTATATTTATGTAGGTACCCATATTATAATATATAAGAAAAAAAAATTAAATATTAAGTATGATGTAGAGAAAATAGATCTAGAATAGAGAATTGAATATATTATCAATTAAAATAATTATATAATATACATAATAATAATTAATAATACTTATAAATTGA